GTCAGAGTTTTACTGCTTTGGCCTTCTAGTAGTCTGTACAACTACAGAATAGTCAGGCAGAAATGTAACACTTTCAGAATGAAATAAAAACACATAAGAAATTGACATAAAAAAGGTTGAATTTAAATAATTAAAAATGAGTTTGACGATTATTTGACGACTCGCTCTGTCAGTACTGTGTGTACTCACATGTACTATATTTTTCCTTATATTTCATCATCTATTCTCCACCACCTGGGATTATAATCTAGACCAGAATTCAACATCGTGTTCTATTTCACAGGATTTAAAACCTCAAATTTAAACTGTAAACTCTTTTACTGATGTGTTCTATTTCACAGGACTTAAAATTTAAACTGTAAACTCTTTTACTGAAATAATAAATTAAGAGGGAAAAAAAAGTATTTTTTTAGCATTCATTTTACAATTAGATGTCCACAGCCTGCTGCTAAATTCAGTCCATATAACTGTTCATGTGTGTTTAGCAATTATAAAGTTAAAGTTTGAGATCAAACAAACAGTGTTTATTCAGTTCAGTCACTCAGTGCAACAGAACCTCTGACCCAGTGCTGTCCGGTGTGGAAGGCTTTTGATTTAAGGCCGTATTGGTGGTAATGAATAGTCAAAGAACAGTAAAAAAAAAAAAAAAACCCACACCTGAACAAAAGAGTGAATGAAGAAACAGACAGCAGATGTGTAGAGGAGGAAGAGGATAACCTCCGGAGGAAAATAAAAAGAGAGCAGTCTGGAGAGAGGGATGCAGAGGAAGGAAGGAGGAAGAGGAGGAGAGAAGATGAGCAGACAGTATCTTTTATGTATTGGCTGAGTGTCTCCCTGGGCTTTTGTAATGTTTTACACAGACCCACTTCCCAAGGTCGCTGCCTGGCTGCCTGGCCAGCTGTTTTCATAGTCAGCGTGTTTCTACACTGTACCCGTTCTTTTATCTTTGAACGTCCACTGGATTATTACTAAAACATCAATAAAAATAAATAAAACAAAAAGACAAAAGTGACAAAATTTATCTCCTGATTAGCACAGAGGACATGGACACGGGTTTCATTCACATCCTGTAAACCTGTAGTCCACAGTCCACAGTCAGCACCTCCGTCTACATGAAGCCTGGACAGGTGGCTGATCAGCTTCCTCCTACCCTGGAGGTCGGTCTGCGGCACTAACGGCAGAGGAAATAGGAAACAGTGTCGACTCAGCAGGTGGTGCAGGTCATAGACACATGGTGTGCACGAGTCCACATATTTATTTTGCATTAAATTAATTCATGCCCTGGGTTGATGTAACTGATAGTATACATAATATTTATTTTAATTTCATAATTAATTTATGGCAGAGATGAGACATGCAGCTCAGTAATGGTAATTAAAAGCAGCACTGCAGATTTACAAAAAAAAAACTTTAAACATTTTCATTATTACTAGAAATGATAATAACAAACTCAAATACCTTTTAAATCCCAGCAATTTACCAGAAAGGTATTTCTTATAGATACTGCTCTACTGTTAACATTAAAGTGTTTTATTCATTGGAATTGTTTTTTTAAACACTATACTTAAATACTTAAATTCCATCGACTAAACATGGATGTAGTCTACACGACTCAACCCTGATTAAAACCAAACATTCCTCATGAATCCTGGTTCATTAAAACCAAGAGAAAATGTATGGACGTCTCCTGCAGCCAGACGTCTTTGTGACGATCTCGTGTGATCTGTCCACACTCTCCACCCACAATCACAGTCTGATCTGGTCTTAATGGAACCATAAAAAAGTTTATTTGAGGAGAAGCTGAAACCAAACACTATCACTGATCTGTGATTGGACCACACATATGTCATACATAACCGACATCAGTAGACGGGTGTAAAGTCTTTTTTTTTCTGCTGCAGACTGAAATAGAAACTTATTTATCTAATTACCAGCCCGGTCACTGGGGGTTCACCACTGACTACTTACTGGGTTTGTCATTACAACAAAAAACCCTAAATAAAAATATATCCATGGAGTTTTGTTTTTTTTTTAAACTGAGCTCTCGAATGTGTGTGAAGATGAAAACACTTCAAAACTGAAGCTGGGATCGCATGTGTCAGAAACGAGAGGAAAGACGATCGACTCATTTGTCCTGTATGTCCACTGCCACTGGGACATGAGCTGCTATAGATTTTCCTCTGCTGTCAGAATGTCATCTGTATGTGACATCCTAGATAACACGGTAATGGCCTCGCTGTGACCTCCTCCCCTATCACCGACCCCCCTGCACACCATCTGCTTTGGCTGGGACACGCCAGCCGCTCAGTTTTTCTGCCTGCACAGTTACTGACCCATTCCACACGCCAAAAAAAAAAAAAGACAGATGTCCCTGACACCTCAGTTCCATCCCTTCACCCCCACCAACTGCAGAATCTCAGCTTCTCTACCCCTCGTCCTGACCTGACATCTTTTTTTCCTTGTCCGTGCTAAGCTAGCGGTCAGCGTCAGGCTGTGATTGGACAGACATCTGTCTGTGGTGCTAACATGTTGTTGTGGAAATGGAAATGTGTAAAAACTACTGCACACTCATCATCATGGTCTGGAGAATAAGAACCCCCTCTGTACACACACACACACACACACACTGCCGTACACCCAGGAGTCCGTGGTCCATCCTCTGACCGTTGGGTGACCTGACAGCCCAGCAGCTGCTGGCTGTTTGATGTTTCACTCTGAGGATCACATTTCATTTCCAGACTCTTCACCCAATGGAGCAACAGAGGGAGGCTCGTCTCCTTCGTCTTCGTCTTCTTCTTCGCCTTCTTCTTCTACGTCCTCTAACGCTTCAGCGAAGCTGTCACCAATCAGAGGTGACCACGACCATCCTCAAACAGACACAGTCAACCAATGGGCTGATGTGGTGTCTGTGAAACTCTCAGTGATCAGAGTACACGTAAAGGTTGGAGTACAGGATGTGGTACTACACAGTGTGATCAATACTCTGACTGTGAGTGGCACATGAAAGAAAAACAGAGGAAAAGGGAGAGAGAGAGAGAGGGGGAGAGAGGGGAGGGCGTGAGGGAGAGAGAGAGAGAGAGAGGGAGGGCGAGAGAGAGAGAGAGGGAGAGAGAGAGAGAGAGAGCGCATGTGCAACAGATGGAGACAGACTGGACATTAGTCTCTCTGGCCTGAAGACATGAAGTCATCACATGACAGCAAATCTGGACACTGCATTTGACCCCCCTACCTCACCCCCCCCACCCCCTCCGTTTACACACACACTGGGTTTTGTCTTTTAGAAGCACTTCTCACAGACATAATTCCTAGACTCTCCCCGTGTCCTTACATAAATTTTGTAACCGTAAATAACAAACACTGGTCAATAACATCACGTTGAACACTACGTCACCACTTTAGCACCTTTTTACCAAATAGGCCCCGCCCACCACTGGCCTGTCAAAAACAGTAGCCGGCAGTAGATGCAAAACATATAGACAACGAACCATGTTAAAAATGTCAAAAAAAATAAACAAATTAAAAAAATAAATAAAATAAAAAATAAAAATATAAGCGATACTACACTAACTACAGTAAAAAATGTTAATAATAAAAGAACAACAGGACTACTACAGACAAAAATTGGAAAACTACAGTAAAAATAATGTTAATAATAAAAGAACAACAGGACTCCTCTAAACTGCACAGATTGTCCATCACGCTAACATGATTTCAATACATCTATGAGAATCAATTTATTACTATTGTTGCCACTTTCTGCCAGGGTCTGCGTTTATTCAGTGGTGGAAGATGTTCCGACAAACGGGGGTCAAGGAAGCCCCCCCCCCACAATAGTGGACAGAGAACTGTGTTAGTGTAAAATACAGACTTAGGACAAAGGTAATTTACACCTGCAGATCATGTAAATAAAAAAAAAAATTAAAAAACTTATCAAACAACTGAAATGACACCAAGAGGGTTGGAGTTCTGCTGAGTGACACCTGTGACACATTCAGTGACAGAGCAAACACACCCTGAACGCAGCATCTGGTTTTATAACACAGCTAGCGTTGAAGAAAGGAGCCGTTGTTCGCTCCCGTCCTCGACTCTCCCTGAGCCGTGATGAGTGGATGTGGCTTCTTAGTGTGTGGCCACTCAAGAGTGAGAAGACGAGGAAAAACTGCCACAGGCTAAAGGGCAGCTTTAGTCAGTTCACTCAGGATGAGAGCACAGACAGACAGACACACACACACACACACACATGTGAAGAGGGGCTCAAATAAGCATCTTTACTAGGAATTCAAGAATAAGGAGGCTCTGGCGCCATGCGTGGCTGCTCACTCTTGACCGAAGACAAACACACACATACACACAGAAAGCACTCAGAAAGGCTGTCAAAAACATAGCAAATGCACACACTCTTACACACATTCCACCATTCCACAACAACATCTCGTCCAGAGTCTTTCTCCTGCCGAACACTTGTGTACAGCAGCGTGCGTTTGTTTAAATAGAGACTTGGAGCCGGAGAGTCAGCCTGACATGTAAGCTAATTACCTCATGTAGCCTTCAGCTCAAGGCAAACAGTATAGACCTCAGCACTTGAACCGCTGAGCTCTGACAGAGGTTGGGTAAGAAACATTTGTGAGTAAATCTCACAAGGACCAGTCACTATTAAAAAAAAAAGAGAATTTTTTTCTTATTGATTATTTTTTGGGGCCAGGGGTCTGAAATGTGTTGTAATCGATGAAAAGAAATTACTGCTAAAAATATTGTTTTCGAATTTTTACAACTATATTCTTACACTTTCATGAATATTAATCAATTCAAACAAAGTGTGGCATTTAAAAATATCTGAGCTGGCACATCTTGATTGACAGCTGTCACTCTAATCAATGTATTTACAACACAGTATAAAAAACATGACCAAAAGTAATTTGAGGAAAAAAGAAAAATATCACTCCAAAAAAATCACCGTGTTTGAGAGCAGGTGGTTTACAATTGTTCACGTCACATGTTTGACAGCAGGTGGTTTACAACTGTTCACATCAGAACTTCAGCAACTATATAATTGTAGTAACTTTTTTTTTTACAAAGTACTTCCTTCAGTATTTTAATATTTTTGTGTTAATCTGGCGTCAAAAGTGACAATGATGTGAAGCAGGAACTCACGAGGCCTTAGAAGACTTCTGAATTCATGCCAATTAATCTTTTTGTGAGAGAGTACAAGCGTGTATGAAGGTAGTAAAAGACGACACACACACACACGCACACACATATACACACACACACTATTAACCTCACACGGACGTCGCCTTGATAGACTGTGACCTGTTTCTCTGGCCTGGCTTACCCCTCTCAACACCCTCATAAACATGACAAGGTTCTGGGATCAAAGCTGCACAGGCCCTTTGTACACACATTCATGAACGCACACACACACACACGTACACACACACACACCGTTATTCTCATCATCACACCGTTTGGCTGTTTTCTTGACAAACTCAGTCCAAAGTCCTGACACCGGAGGGGAATACGTCGTCGTAAACCCAGAGCTGCTGTGCTCCTACTAATAATAATGAATTAATAATAATAATAATAATTTGTACTATATTGACCCCATATTTGGGAAATTGTTGTGTTAGCAGCAGATATGCTGTTAACAGACTGCCCCCAGCAGGCGCCAAGCATGTGGTTCCTCTGGGTATCGAACCCAGGACTCTCTGCTCTCTGCTTCAGAGGCAGGTGTGCCAAAAGTTACTGTAATAACAACCAACATGGATTGTGTTCCTTTCAGAGCTACAGCTTTATAATACTGTCAGTCTTTGGGGCAACTGAGGTGAAAAACGTAGCATTCCCAGATTCACGAAAACAACAGAGGAGCTAAAGATGATTCTTTGATTCTTTTTACTGGAACAGTCGACAGAGGAGAAACATTCAATTGATATCTATCTAAAACACGCAGTTCAGAGACGAGACGGTGCTGCAGAGGTACCGACGGAGAACACATGCTAACTGAGTGCAACCTCTGCTGTAAAAGCCATTAGCCTTTACTGCTGTCTTCCATGACAGGTTGTCCTCGACTTAGCGTGCAAACCTGAGTGTGTGTGTTTGTTTGAGTGTGCAGGAGAGTGCTTTCACAGGCCCTACGAAGCAGTGAAGCAGCTCCGCAGAGCGACTGTGTTTGTCATGAGACGGTGAGTGTGAGCCTTTTGAACATGACCACCGTCTGACCTTCAGCTCTTCAACTCTTTCTCCACCTTGCGGAAAGAACGGTTGAGGAAACAAACTTCTTTTTTTAAAAAAAAACACGCCGGAGAAACAACCGTAACAAGTCGACGAGTGGATAAGTGTACGAATCACATTAAGGTCCAACCGGTTACAGGTTTAGGTTACTGGATTACAACTGCTCTCAGATCAACCGAAACAAGTCGACGAGTGGATAAGTTTACGAATCACATTAAGGTCCAACTGGTTACAGGTTTAAGTTACTGGATTACAACTGCTCTCAGATCTGTGCTGCCGGGACACGTGACTGTGTGAAGAACTCACAGCGACTGGGCTGAAACGTGTCTTCACTTTAGTTTTTTGGTTCTGTTTAGAGTGCACTTAGTTATTGTCCACTAAGCTATAAACTGACACTGTGTTTCCTTCAAGGTGTTTCATCCTGTGCTATACATTCTGCAGTACTTAAGAAGTAAAGTAAGAAGTACACTCTGTACATTAACGGGCTGTTAAGGCTGCTGACACGCCTCCAGAAAAAGTTTAACAAAAGACACCAGCGTTGCACCTTTTATCCCTGCCCCCAAATTCAGCAGAGATAGCCAATGACATCAACAATGAAATCTCAAATCCTCCACAGTCTTATTGAGAAATACATTTTCATTTCATTGTCAAATCTTTCAACAATTCTAATAATAATGGAAAATGTATAAAGCAAAAGGATAATTCTATGGTACATCGTCCCGTTACTGTCAAATGGACATCGGACCACACTGACACACTTTGGGACTGTGGACATGTCCAGCAGCACCTCCGAGGCTGTGATCCCACCTTTTCATCCGGTGCAAATGCCATTTTTGTGAAAGGGTGAGAAAGGAGGTGGGAGAGATGACATGGAGCTAAGTGCCTAGGTGTTAGCTCCCCACCCGAAGACATAAAGTGGCACTCACAGAGCAGGGGACTTCAAATGCCATGCTGCATTTCAGAGACAAAGGTCAGCCATCACTCTCAGATGAACCGCTTTTCTAGAAAATGTAGTATTTCTTTCAACTGTGTGGATTTAATATATGTTGAAAATATTTTCATTAGTTCTAATTTCCTGCAGGGCATCATGGTATTTTCACAGCATTCATGGATACTCAGGAACATTGTCCCTGACGAGGAAGTCAGGAGTCAGAAGAAGTCATCATCTTTGTCAAACTTTCACTTGTCTTCCTAATCCTCGTCCAACTCAGACGAGCTAATACTGAGGCTCCACTCATTAGCTCGGTTACACCAGTGTGGCAGATTAATGTGCGATCCCAGTCACAGGGTTGACTTGGTCACGGCCACATACACATGTAGTACCTTATCTGATAGCACCCACTGGGCTACTTAGAGTTGCCCTAATGATAATGGAGGCTGAGACTTTTTCAAACTCCGCGCTTTGCCTTCATAAGGCAGTAAATTTGACCAGCAGGCCACGCAGGGCCAGCAGGGAGTTAATGGTCGTCTCATAAAAGCCTGAGGAGAGAGGTCAGGACTGCAGCAGGGATTCCTGATGCCCTAAATGAGAAGCAGTTGTGACTGTTCCCAACCAAGAGGAGGGCAACATGTCTGCCCTCACGTCTGATGGGAATAAGCCATGAAACAGGTGTCATCATGTGACTGAACTACCTGATGACTTAACCTTTGTGTTGTAACTTTCCTAAGTTTACACATGATTTACATTTACATTTGACTCTCTGTTCTGTCTAACTCTAATCCCTGCTTCAAATCCACCTGACTTCAATTTTAGGTGGGACGGGTCTTGACATGGAGCATGAGTATATCAGCTACTGCTGCGGCAAAAAAAAACCCAAAAAAAACAAAAAACAAAACAACTCCACATTTTTTGACTCAGTGATGTATAATATTATGATATCCACACCACAGACATTACAGACAGGGGATTATCTAAGTCTTAGTCGGTGGTTCCCAAAGTGCAGGGCGGAACCATGCATAATGGATCCTCCTTCTATTTCAATAACAATACAATAATTCAATTCAATAATCAATAATTTTTCAAATTTAGATGAAGATCAAACAAAAACAACAATGGGCCCAGTCTTTAACACAGAAAACTGAGAACTTACTTCTGAAAACAGAAGTAAGTAACCACTGAGGGTAGCAGTGAGGTTTTGTTACAACTCCTCTGTTCTGAATTTGAAGTCTATTAAAATTTTATAAAGTACTTTTAATAACTGTTTCACGCATCTTTGCGTTAAACTCAGACCCTGTTTCAGATCGGCACAATATGAATGCTAAGGGTTCTGCCAGTGTTGCATCAAACCAAATTGTGGTGTGGCGCCCCCATTTGAACTGTTTTATTTAAGGATTACAGGTTTGGTGCCTCAAGCAGATGGCGCTATAGGCATCTGTCTATGTGACATAAGAAAACACCTGAAGAGATTTGTCAAAAGTGAAGGTTCAATGCTGTCAAATCATGACAATGGACAGTTGGGGGCAGCAAAAAAACGTATTGATCATGTGATTTGTTTTTTATTATGCAAATATTTTGGAGAGAGAGAAAAAAAACTTTCACCAAGAAATTTGGCTGCTGTTATCTACTTAATTACGCAGTTGAAAACCAGCTTCCACTTGACATGCAGTCAGACTGTGTTTGTTCTGGATGTCAGATAGTAGCCGGCTTCTCTGAGTGGCCTCTCATTGTTACTGTAGCGCTGCGCTCACTCCTGCCTTATCAGCTGAAGGCCTCTGCTGCTCCAACACCAGCCTCTGTCATACTCACTTCTTCAGTTCAAAGACAACACTGCATGGGAGATCAAAGCGGGGCCAATCTGGTATGCACACAAAGCCCGCTCGCCACACTAGCACACAGTGCACATGATAACACGTCCATAATCTCAGTCGCACAGTCAGACATCGGCTCTGACCACACATGCCCCTGGCATTGATCAAAGGGAGGAATGTGATAGATAGAGGGGAGATAAGCAGCAGAGGGGGAGGGAGGGAGGGAGAGAGGGAGAGAGGGAGAGAGAGAGAGAGAGAGAGGCAGTTTCACTTCAGTAATCAGACCAAAGTGTGTGTAGGAACCCGGAACAAACAGTTCCAGTTTGCAGCAATCCTAACAACATTCCATGTGGTGCTGAAGAATATACATTGAAATGAACACTGAACACACTCCCACACACACACACACATCTACACTGTACACTGCTGTCCTCGCTGAGACACTGAGACTCTGCAACCATTTAAAAAAGTAACACTCATTACCAGTTCATACAAACTTTAACATCATTAAAAAAAAGAGCGACAAGACAAGTACAGACACAGTTCCTAAATGGGTTCTGACTCCTGAAACCTCGGTACTCTCAGACCACCAGCCTGGCATCACACCAGTGATACAGCTTTTGGCCCCTAGTGGTTGAGTCTGACATCGTTCACAGCTTTACCACGGTCTTCCTTCTATCTTGTGCTGCACATGTCTCAAAAAATGCTTAACTGTGAAAGGAGCAGCGATGGAAAAAATCTGCCTGACGACGCTTTAGAAACTGCCGTATTACAAAAACCTGAAAAGTTAGTGGACTTTTACCTAAAATATTTAGCTAGATTCTTTACTTTTTCAACACTTTCCTGCCATCACAAAAGAATAGAAATAGAGACGAAAACTCACAGGCTTCACCTGTCAGTACGAATATGTCCTCCTCCATCTGAAGGCACCAACATGATAACTAAGTACGATCAATACAATGATCAATTCAAATAAGTGAGTGGGGAGGGAAGGTAAGTGCTTTGATGTTGAGAGAGAACCGAGACACAACGTTCAGTGCAGATACAGGGATGTAGTTAAAGTACCATCTGGTCAAATACTGTCTGTTGTGTTGTGTCACATGATTACATTTCTTTCCCAAAAAAAAAGACTTTTATGAAAAACGACAAAGAAAACTTTTATCTTCAGTGCAGGTTCAGCTACAATATCTTATTTAAATAAATATATATTTATTTGGTAAATATACTATTGTTTCGAAATGTTTGGCAAAAGCACTGCACCTCTTAAATTTTGCTTCTGATTTCTTTTTTTTTTTTTTTTCAGTCACGTTCAAGTTCGGCCAATGACTTGTGAATCAGATGATCTGGTTTGAATTAACCAGCTTTTGTAATGATGCAAAGCCAATAACACTGCCGTGGCCACATCAAACCCGTAGTCCAACATTAGCCACATGCCTGTAGCTGTGTGGGTTCCTGTGACGTACATTCACTGTCAATCAAGGCCATTTACACCAGGAGCAACACGGCCCACACCGCAGACAGTGTACAGAGACCATACATCCTGACAAATGTGTGTAAATCTGACAGTCCACAGCTCCTCCAATAAGGATCATTAAAACTTTTTTTTTTTCTTATTTTATAATCTGCAACACTCATCCAAAAACTGGTGTCTGGTTCTGGGTTTAAGGCTGCCGTACTGTGGAGTAGTGGATTTAAGGGCGGGTGGGAAACGACCCCAGCCTTGGATCTCCATGTTTTGGTTCGCAAAAATAAAAATATGATAAACTTTTCTGAACTTGTCTTGAACTATGAACTACACAGCGGAACCGTTTGGTTCAGTTAAGTGGACCAGAACTGGTTCATGTGGATAGTCCAAGAACCAAACTATGGTCCAGCTAAAAACAAGGGTCTCGTGGACTTATATGAATCTGTGGATAAAGTGAAGAAGAGCTTGATAATAATTAAGCCAATGAAGGTTTGTGAATAAAAAAAAATCACAATATATTGACCACAGGTGTGAATGTAAGTTCAAATGGATATTTCATGTGTGATCCTGCGATGGACAACTGAACTGTCGTAACTCTGACCTCACGACCCCTAGGATTGGCTGCAATTCCTCTGACACTGTGACAAGTTTTAAGCAACATTTTTTTATTTTATTTTTATTTTGTTGTTGGGGGGGTTGAATAGTTCACAGAAGAACTACTTGATGTTTGGGAGTTTGTGTTGTGTTTTTTGGGTAAGTGATCAGTCAGTGCAGAGACCAAGTCATAACGCCCACAGAACCAGGCCACAGAAATACAATGAAATGCAGATATTGGCCATTAAAGATTTGAGTGCGTTTTAGAGGGAAGAAAGAAGTCAAAGTAAAGAAAAAAACAAACAAGTAAAAGCAAATTTCAAGGTATTTGAGCAAGAAATGGTTCATGAGAACTTTGATCACGCTCAGATAGTTGCCAGTGATTATGTTTCATGTTATATCAACATGAACTGTGATGCCGGTGACTACAGACTCCACATCAATGCTACATCACGTTATCTTTTCTTTCACTGTCATTCAAAGCTGCAGCCTTCGCATGTAATGAAGGGGAACTTTCCTGCTGTAAACGTATTCCAGATTCAGCTTTTATTTGTTTACTGACACTCCACACCAGCGGTTGCACACACGGGTTTGCAGAGGTAAATGAACCTCATAAAATTAGATCAGAAACAATGCGGATCAAAACTCCGAGAGTAGAAATAACATCTGTGGTGACTGTGGAATTCCACAGCCCCTGATTACATAGTGGTCTCTTGTGCACGGTCAGCTTGTGTACGTCTCTGCTGCGTTGGTGTTTTATTTCACAGAAATGAAGATTGGAACCTGCTCACTGTACCTCGGCAGGCGTTCTTTTTTAAAGGAGTGAATACAGACGTCTGCAAATTAAGTTATAATTTAAACAGAACTTTGGCGTAGGTGTGAGAAGTCTGACTTTACTCTTAGGGTTTTGACGTCTGCATCAACGACCTAGAAACTTTAAAATAAATCAATGCATAATCACCTTCTGGTATCTTACTTTAATTCTCTCAAGAATAAGAAGTTCCGTGCAAAATC